CTGGTGGACACTAGAGAGAATGCAGCTTTAAGACATGAAGCTTTGACCTCACTTTTCAGAACCAGATGTTGCCGCCTGCTCTGGACCCTAACATGATGAGTACAATGTAGATTCCTGCATCCTGTATGTTCTCCTGTTTAGAAATGCTTCCTCATCCATCCCATGTCACCCCTCTATGTCATGTTTCCTACTGTGCACCAACAGACCTAACAAACCCAAAACCTGCTGTTTTCTTTTTGTCTCTGTTCTGTCTTCATTTCACCGTTTCCTCCCAAAGCCAGCGACGCTCGTCTGGGTAAAAAAACGAGCTTTGTGCAAAAAGAAAAAAGAAAAGGGGCAGATCGATGTTCCCTAAGGTTTTACTGCAGTGGTGCGCAGCCGTCTCGAGCTGTGCAGCTGAAATAGGTAAACCGTCACCCCCCCCGCCGCGTTCGTCTGTCTGCTTTGTCAGCAAGCTGCTTGTGCTGTGAGGTTATGTTGCACTCGGCCGCTGCAACACGAAAAGGCCTTCATGCCTTTGGACTTTAGGTAGCTGACGTCGCCGGTCGGCCGGCGTGGAGCCGCCAGGGGTCGTTTTCGAGAGACGTAGTGTCGTATGGCGCCGCCCGCCACGCCGTGTATGCAGCTGTATCCTCTCGTCAAAGGCATCTCTCTCTGCTTCTGTAGAGCACATGGCCGCTCCTCGTGCTTCTCTCATCCCATCTCTGGCTGCTCTTTTTCTGCAGCAATAAGGCTGCCAACACACACCAACAACACAACACAAATAAAACAGGTCACACACTTGTTTCTTAGACAACATTGGAAACTTGCAGCCAAGCCACATGTAAATAAACAGACAAACAAGAGAAGAATCCACAGTATCTCTCTCTTCACACATAGAGATACTGTCTTGTGTTCACACACCCCGACTGACAAACATGCTTGTTCGCTCCTTGTTCGACACTGGCAGGACAAAGAGCCTTTCTTTCAGGGACGAGACATTTCTGAGAGAGTCTGTCCAGCGAGGAAGGAAGCCCACGGCATGCTGATCCCACTGGAGACAGCATGGCTCTCTCTCTCTCTCAGTACTGTCTCATGCACTCTGGGTTTGCTTGTGGTTTCACACAACACACACATTCAGCCGCTGTGCATCAGAAAACCTCTGGTCGGGTTCAGCAGGCAGGTCCTGTGGTTTGTTGGTTCCGGTGAGGTTGCTTTCTTGTGATTACTTCTGCTGTGGATCTCTTAGAATGAGACACAGACGTATGTTGGACTCAGGTGCTATAGGGGCAGTCACAGTTTGTAAACAACGATGTCGTACGTAAGTTTGGCAACGGAAGTACGGCGGAGTGCAAAAGCTTGTCAAGCTGTGTAAGAACATTAACCAACAAAGATGGAGAACGCAACCTAAACAAGGTGACTTTACAGGTCTGAGTGCTGTTAGAGAGTAGAATACGTTAGCAAGTGTCCAGATATAAACATGTATTAGGAGGAGAAACCCAGCGTGTAACGTTACACCAGAGAGACATTATGAGCTACAAGTCACTAGATGATCAACTCTGCTCTCTGAGTTCATGAGCAGAACGTCAGACACCATGAAGAGACTCAGAGGTTTCACTTCATCCAGCTTTGACAGGAGCTACAAACAGTCCAGTGGTCGTCAACACGTTTAACAGCTTACAGACAAAGTGAACTGGTGACTCTCAGCCCAATGCATCGTGGTTGCTCGTAGTGTCAGCAGCACCAACAGATCATGTAGTTGTCGTGGTAAAAAGCCTGTAAATCTATTTTAAATACAGATTCATCTTTGTTTATTGTCTACACGAACCATTGAGTCACTAGGAGCTAAAAGCCACCAGTTTACACAGCCACTCGTTAAAGTGAAACACCTTTTGCTCTGAAGCGGTCGTGATCCGGTCTGAATCCTGTAGTCCGAACATTTAACAACCAGCCGTTCTCATGCTGGTAACAGTTTTAATTCAACGTTTAAAAGCTTGCCAAGTCCTCTGGATGGCTCGGGTAAAACGCCACTTCTGTTGACAACATGCACAAATATATCGTTGGTGACGTTGGCTGTAAAAATAGAAGTCTATAAGACTCAAAGTCTTTTTTATATTTGTAATTTTACATCAATAAAGCACAACAGAGTGGCCTCGGAAGACTCGTGCTTTTAAAACGACGAGCCAATCACCAAGAGCCATTCTGCAAGAGCTAAGAGAGCCGAGCTTTATGATGATACCGCTACGAGGGATGGAGAGCAAATAAAATCAAATAAAACAAGACATGAAGCTCTGCTCTGTAAATCCTGAGCCTCTTTCCTGATCCCTCTCGAGTGTCTCTCCTCTCTTTGCCCTCCATCGAGCGCTCACTCTCGCTCTTTTTACCCCCCCTCGCAGTAAACAGGTGATAACAGCATCCTCGTGCTCACTTCCTTCTTCTCTCACCACAGCCGAGGTGTGCAGTGACCATGGCCACGGACGCCACGGAAACTAAGCACGACGTGCTTTTAGAGGTAACCGAATCCAAAGGCCCAGGTAAAGAGGAACGACAACAAACGTCTTAAAGAGACAGCGTATCAAAGCGCTGTCTCTTTAAGAGCTGCATGGCGTGGTGACGGGTTGGTGTGCTGTGGTTCTGACTTCTTTCATCTCTTTACTAGAATTTGTTCGTCAGGTTTATCAGAAGTGTAAAGAAAAGAAATATAACGTTAATCTAATAATGAAAGTTAGAATTGGTGAGTCTTAATTAGGCAGATTTAGTTACCTTTGGACAGCCAGACCAGCTGTTTTCACTCTTTATGCTGTGGCCGTGGATGGCCAAGAATTGGTTGCCAATTTCTTAAAAATGGTTTATGGCAACCTGGCAACCCTTACTGTTGAACCCAGATTTAGTCTCTGGCAGAGCTCCAAGTTAGTCCAGATAATGTGCATGTAGTCCTAAATCATGGGACGTTCTTCGAGTTTATTGCTTGTATTGCTATCACAGTGAGCTGCTGCATTGTTTGCATTTGATCTTTGGTTTGTGGAATAAGTAGTAGTCACAAGCAGTGTTTCTTCTGCTGCCAGCTGGTTAGTTTTCCCTCCCCAGATGGGAGATATTCCCAGATTCAGATGTCTAGAATAATCAAGCATCAGGAGTCTTGAGTTGAGAGGAAGCGGTGGTTCAAAACCACGTTTGCATCACAAGCGCACAGAAAAGCAAGAGTTAACCTCGGCGTTATAAATCCGGGAGCTGCTCTGCTGAGTCGTCTGTGCTGCAGAGGGGAAAAAAGAAGTGCCCTTTCTGGTTTCACGCATGAGTGTGTGAGCGTGCCCACGGCGGTGCATTATGGGCTTCGTACCAGAGTAGAAACGCCGGAAGAGCTTTCTGCAGGAGAACAGAACATCAGTGTCACATCGTAATATCACTGCACTTAGACAGAGAAAGAAGCAGTATTAATGTCATCAGCATCAACACTACACATTGTCTTTAATTACACTGTGATAATAAGTAAAACCATGCACAGAGAAACACAAAGTCTCAAACCTGCACAGACACAGAATAAAAAAAAATATATATATATTTCTACTTCTATTGATAGAGAGTTAAATAAATAAAGACCATAATCTCACATTTCTCTTAAGTCCTTCCAAACCCAAAACATAAAACTGACACATTTAAAGCTAAAAACTCCGTCCTGATGTAAACATCAAGGTCCTAAATGTGAATTGATAATTATGAAGAAGTAACGACCACAAGAGAAAACAACACAAGGCAAAGATTTAAAACACCTCATCATTTCTATCTTTGAACTATTTCATTTCATCTTGAATTGTAGGATTATCCAACATCAAACGCAGGACTTTCACCTAGGAGACCAGTGTTAGTGTCTGAAACCAAAAGTCAACATTGACTTTTTAAAATTACATAGTTGCGTAAAAAGTTTACTTTTTTAAATGATTACGTAATTACGTAACCAAAAAGTCAACGTTAACTTTAAATAACGTAGGCTGCATTATTGATGTAACGTTACCCAATAGTTTACTTTTTAAATGACTTGGCATACACAGTAAGTTACATTACAAAATCAAAAGTAGACTTTTTTAAATTAGGTAGTCAGTCATTTTAACCAAAACATGATCTCTTCTTTCCTAAACCCAACTATGTAGCTTTGTTGCCCAAACATAAATTGTGTCGGGCCGTATTTTTAACACATTACATGTCGCCGCCTCTTAACGTGTAACGAGGTCGTGGGCATTTCACGTATTTCTGTGAGACATCGTTGCTTATAACCACAAAGCAAATGTGCTTCAACCACATGAGCAGTTCTTAAATAAAGCGTTTGACATTTTGTGAAATACATTTATTCGTTTTCATGCTAAAGGTTAGATGACAAGATTGATGCCGGGCCTACAAATCGTATTCTACAGATTTAAGAAAACATCCTCGCAAAAGATCACACCATAATAATTATAACGTAGTTTTCATCTAATTATGAATCATCATTGCCTCAAATATCGTGAATCACATCCCAGCTGCAATTTCAGTAAAAAAACAAAACAGCCCTCTTCTAATGAACCATTCAGCACGCAGTCTTCATAGTTTAGCCTCTTTGTTTTTGTTTTGAGTCTCTTTGAAGTTATTATAAATCTCTCTGTGGTTTTGTGTCTTTGTGGTCATTTTCTGAATCTTTGTAGTTGTTTTGTGTCATTTCTTTGTCTCTCTGTAATTATTTTTTGTCCGTGGTTGTTTTGCCTCTTTTCATTGTTGCTTTGTGTGTCTTTGTAGTCATGCTGTGTCTTTTCATTGTTGTTCATAATTATAGCATACTTCCCACATTCTCAATATATTAATATCTTCGTCAGTATATTTATACATACACGGCACTTAAACTCTCCCACCCACGCAAGACACACTTCAGAGTCGGGGATCTACTGTACGTGGGGAAATTAGTTCACTGTATCATTTCCCATGATGCCTCTGGTACAGTGAGCAGCATGCGAAGTGAAATCCCACACCAGTTGCTACTTATAGCTGTGAAAGGGATACCCACAGATCCCTGAGAACGCCTGTCTGCACAGCGGTGTAGAGTAGCTGCGTAGCTCTGTAACCTCACCCACTTCGTTCATCCAGTGGACCTCCACAAGTACACAAAAACAAAACGTCGTGTCAACGTTTGTGGGAAAGTTTAGCTCGAGACTTTCTGGCTTTAAAGATGATGAGGAAATAAAGTCCAATCAACTAAAAGTCCAAAAGTTGGTTTCATAACTGTGATTCATGACTTCCTCATAAACTAACAGGGTTTATTACAGCTGCTCTGTTTTATTATGTAGGTCAGCCATGGACAGATTGTGAGACAGCGAGTCCCTGAGACTGAGACATGCAAAAGGCCTCACCACCCCTCCTACATAAGAGAAGACAAGCTGACTTTAGAGTTGTTTAGCCTCTTTTTGTTGTTGTTTTGTGCCTTTCTGTCGTCATTTTGAGTCTCTTTGTAGTTTCCTTGTGTGTCTCTTTTATACTTTTTAATCTCTTTGTAGTTGCTTTGTGTCTCTTCGTGGTTGTTTTACTAAGTTTTCAAAGTTGTGAGTCTTTGTGTGTCTCTTTGCATCTGTTTGTAGTTTTAGTGTCTTTGTGGTGATTTAGAGTCTCTTCCTGCTTATTACACGTGTCTTTTAATGTTTCTTTCAAGGTTATTTTTTTGGCATTTTGCCTTTAATAGACTGATATAGAGAAGTGATATGAGTAAAAATCAAAGTTTATTCCCTTTAGCTTTGCAGCAGATAACACGTGTGCATCTTGGAGGGTTGTTATCTGTTGGAATATAGCGGGTCAAATGTATGATGTGAGTCACTCGTGTGACGTCAGCCTCTCAGGATGTCGTTCAAACTGCTTTCATGGATTTCTCTGAAGCTACTTCAGGCTGTGGGTGCTCCCTCTTTTTTCCCTGTGTGCTGTTTATCTCTCCCACCTCCTTTAAAATGTGAATACGTATGAACCAAAGAGCCGAGGTTTTCTTCTCATTCCATCTGCTGTTTACATTTGTTTTCATTTACATTTCACTATCTACATACACACACACGCACACTGTAGAATAACATGCCCAGAGGCACCGTCCTGCCTGTTATCTCTCCACGAGGGAGATATAAAGATTGATGATCTGATGTTGGGTGGCTGCGGTTGTCATCCATTCTCTTTTTTGCCAGCAGAGAGAAGGCGACACGACAAATTCCAGCCCTTCAGACGACTCTTTGGGAGGAAGAAGAAGAGGGAGGCGAAGGGGGGCCTTGATGGAGCAGAGCTTAAGGCCAGTTTTTCTACTGGGGAAGTGTGCAATGGAGTTGTATCTGATGATGAGGAGTCCAATCAACATCTGAGGTATTTACACGGATAAAGCTTCCTTTCTTACACATATTTGTCTTGAGTTAATGAACTTGAGCTTGTTGTTTTTGTCATATTTTTGCTGATAAAATCTGCAACCACATGTGTTAATAATAATGATAATAATAATAAGACACAGGAAGTTTGTGACCTTCGTACAGCCTTCACCCAGACACATTTTTAAACTTCTCATCAGATTTCTTTCGCTTGCAGAAAAGTGAAAGTGTTTATGTGACCGCTGCACGTTGTGGTTGCACAATCTGTAGAGAAACAGGGTGAGGCTCTGCTAAAAGGCCCCGACACCAGTTCAGCCGTTTAATTGATGTGCTGAAAAAGCTGGTGTGTAAACAGAGGTCATTAATTTTCTTTGTGTGAAATGATTCACGGATAAATGAATGAATGAGTGATGCGCTGCCTGCAGCACTGAAGACGCTCTCATTCCCTCTGCAGGGAGTTGAATCCCATCGGTTCTCGAGCCCTCTCGCACGACAGCATCTTCATCCCAGAGGAGCCGGCGGCCGAGCCCGGGCCGGATCACACCATGTCCCAGGAAAACGTCTCGGATAAAGTGAGGGATCTGCAGGTGGGCCTCGCGGCGGTGTGCACTCGGTTGCCGGACATTTCTATCTTCCGTCTGCATTCGTAACGTGTTTCTCTGTTTGTTCACACAGCGGCAGATAGCACAAGGGATCAAGTTTGGACAGAGGCCTCCTTCTCTGAGGAAAAGTGAGGGAGATGAGGGAAGTTCAGATGAGGAAGAGGTTCCCCAGAGTCCCCTGAAGGTTCTGGTTCAGGTAGAAGCTGAACCAGAGACAACAGAGCCAAAGGTAACAACTTATGAGCTTATTCAAATGTTCTTATTAAATGTTTGTAATGTTGTAATTTTCATGGTGATATCTGTTAGTTGATTTAGTTTACCCTATTCACCTGTAGCGTCTCCTCTTAATACAAGTTATTGTGACATAATCCAGGTTCAGGGCGCTCAACAAGCCGGACCACACAGCACTCCAGTGAGGTCGCCGAGGTCCAGACAAGTTCTTCCGCCCGCTGGTACCATCGAGTCCATCAATCTGGACTCCGTCCCGCAGTCGGCCCCTCGCTTAGACAACGCCGCTGCCAGGCATAAACTGTCTGTCAAGCCGAAAAACCAGAGGGTTTCCCGGAAACACCGGTGCTTCACACAGGTGAGCCACCTCAAATGTGCCTCAGCGTGTTGTCGGTTTATTTTTGCGACGTGCCTTACCTTTTTGAAAACATGAGCTCATCATTTTTCCACATTCTCAGGACCTCCAAGAGGTTTCGATTCCCGGCGTGCTGCGAGAGGACCTCGAGGCTGCAGGCGTCTCGACGGACGGCCAGCGCAGAGCATCCGTCGAGTCCCTCGGAAGCTTCAAGAAACAGAGACTCCACGAGGAGGAGAGACAGGAGACGAGGAGGAAGAGGGAGCTGGAGGAACAGAGGCTCAAACGAGAGGAGGAGGAGAGGAGGAGGAGAGCGGCGGAAGAGCTGAGGCTGCGTGAGCTAGAGGAGGAGAGGTGTCGTAAACAGCAGGAGGAGGAAGAGCGAAGGCTCAGAGAGGAGGCGGAGAGGATGAGGAGGAGGGAGGAAGAGGAGAGAAGGATCAGAGAGGAAGAGGAAAGGAGGAGGCGGAGGGAGGAGGAGGAAAGGAGGATGCAGGAGGAGCGGGAGCAGGAGGAGAGGAGACGACTGGAAGAGCAAAGGAGGAAACAAAAGGAGGAGGAGGAGGAAGCGAGGAGGCAGCGGGAGCTTGATGCCGAGAGGAAGAGGAAGCTAAGAGAGGAAGAAGAGGAAAGAAAGAAAGAGGAGGAGGCGCAGAAGCTGAGGTTGCGGGAGATTGAAGAAAAGAAAACCGCAGAGGAGAGGACGAGGAAGGAGCAGGAGGAGCAGCGCTGGAGGGAGATGGAGGAGAGACAGAGGCCTTTCTCTTTCAAAGTCTCCTCCGGAGAAAAACAGATTTTGTTCCAGAAGGTCCACCTGACGCCCGTGACGCCGGCGTCCAGCCACCAGAGCGGAAGTGCGTCCGAGCAAAGAGAGAGCGCCAAGGCCTCCTCCTCTGAAGGACCGGAGTCCCCCAACCTGCCGACGTCTCCGTACGTCCCCCACACCGCCATCTTAGTGACGGGCGCCCAGCTCTGCGGGACGGCTGTCAATCTGGACCAGATCAAGGACACCGCCTGCATGTCCCTGCTGGGTTTGGGGGATGACAGGAAGGCGCAGGGAACGCCGCCGCCGACCAAGAGCAAGACTTCGCCGGACCGCAAGTCTGGCAAAACCAAATCGCTCAACGAGTCCTCGCTCTCCACGGACCAGTCCGTCCTGGCCGAATGGGCGAGCATCAGGTCGAAGATATTCAAGGGGGTGGAGGAGGGGAAATACGACCCAGAACCGAGCAAGAACCAGCCCAGCGGCGAAGACACGCAGGCGTTCTCCCACGCGAACCTCAGGAAGACCATGTCTGCCAGCGCCAAGTTCTCCATCACCCCTGCGAAGAAGAAGTTTGGAGATTCAAACAGGAACTCCGAGGTGTTCGGCGCCGACGAGAAGGACGCAGGAGAGGAAGCTGCTCCGCCTGACAGCCCCGCCGCCGCCACCTCACCAGCTCCAACCAGCAAACCTCAGAACAGGACGAGTAAAACCGTCCGCATCGCAGAGAGAGGCTCAGACGAGTGCATGTTCGCCAAAGACCTCCCGTCTTTCCTGGTTCCCAGCCCTGGAGCCAAATCCGAGGCCTCGGAGTCGGAGACGGAGGCGTCTGAAGGTAAAGAGGAGGCAGAGTACCGAGGCCCGGACGGTGAGGACAAGCCCTCGCCGTTCGGCATAAAGCTGAGGAGGACCAACTTCTCGCTCCGCTTTCACAGCGAACAGTCCACTGAGAAAAGGAAGAAGCGATACAGCGCCGGGGACAGCTTCGACGGCGTCCCCTCGCCTCTCACCCCCATCGAGCCGGACTCCGACACTTCCTCCGTCTTCTCCGACAAATCCACAAGTCCCACATCGCCTCAGAGAGAAGGCGCGGCGGGCAAGTACTTACACGCATCCGCCTCCCCTGCCGCCCCTCGGGCTAAACCGGGTAAATCCACCAGCCCGGCCGCACGCGGTGAAGGCGAGAAGGTGCTCTCCAAGCCTCCGATCTACCGGAGACCGACCACGTCACCGAAACCTGCTGGAGCGGCCCCCACGCCTCCACCGTCGCCGCTGCCCAAAGTGGTCCACGGGCCCCCTAACGAGGCCGTGATCCAGAGGACGGGGGCCGCCGAGGAGCAGGCGAGCAGAAGCGAGGAACCGTCGGCGGTCGCTCAGTTGCACCGGAGCGGCCAAGGCCAGGTCCAAGGGGAGGAGGAGCCGAAGGAGAAGAGATCCTTCTTCCCCTCCATTAACATCCCCTGGAGAGAGAAGACGGACAGGAAGACGGAGCTCATGAAGAAAGGTCAGTGTTGCTTTGGCGTGTTTCGAGGCGTACGTTTAATAAAAGCACAACGCTCACCAGCAACATTCAGTGTCCGCACCACATATTTGCTCCCACAAATGGGCATTTTTTTTGGTCTTTGTCATGATGATAGTGTCTGTCCAAAAATAGAAAAGTTCAGGATAAACAGACATGCTTTTTAAACAAACTTCTCCTCCGTTTACTGCAGTGACGTCACCTGCGCTTTTCTTTTTTAACTTGAAGCACTCGGAGATACCGCACAAAGAAAATAGGGAGCGATCAGAAAAAAAAGACGCTGCACGCAATTGAAAAAAGACAATGGCGCCATGTGGACACGGGCCCTTAAAGGAATAGTTTGACGTTTTGGGCAGTGTGTCAATTAGTTTTCTTACCGAGAGTTAGACGAGAAGGACTGTCTGATAAATATGTAGCTACAGCAACATTATTTAATACCAAATAACTTGTTTTTGTAGAAACAATAGTAATGTGTCAAAAATTGCCCTGCAGAAAAGCCATCACTCCAGAGCAGGCACTCGCTGGACAGTTCGAAGGTCCAGGAGAAGGAGGCCGGGCCCTTGTGGATCACGCTGGCTCTGCAGAAGCAGAAGGGCTTCAGGGACCAGCAGCAGAACCGAGACGACCGTCGGAGCCACAGAGACAACAAACACTCCCGAGAGAGAGACAGTGTACGCGCCTCTTTACTCACTTACTAAGGTTCACGTTATCGTGTGTTCTTCCTCTCACACGAGCGTTAACCTCCTCCTGCAGGTGGCGCTGCTGAGCCCCACGGAGAGCAGAGGGAGCGGGAGCACCAGCCCGTCCTCCAAACCGCAGACGCCAGAGGAGCCCAAGAGACCCGACAGCCTCCTGGGACGATTCGAGCGCAGAGAACATCTGAAAAAAGCCAACACTTTACCCAGCTCCATCACCGGTAAGAACCCGCACGACTAACATTAATAACGCAAAATATCTGCTTTAAATATTCTTCATTTATTAAGTGGAAATGACCCAAAACAATTGCTAAAGTTCTGAAATGAGGACGAGCTTTTTTTTTTTTTCCTAGTTTCTATCCAGACAAAATAAACGATTTATATACTATTTACTATATCGTATATAAAAATATACAAATAAAATACACTTTATACACTAATTGATCAAATAAATGGTCAGCTTAATCAATATTGATTCTACTGGTTATGTTTAGCGCTGAATCCATATTTCCAGGATGTTGAAACTGTTGAATATTTAAACTAATTAGTTATTGATTGAATACATTAGCATGTATTTTATATTAGAACAGAGCTCCAACATTTAATCAATTTAAACATTTTGTTGATTGACAGAAAATCCGTCAGTGACTCTTTAGTTTGATGGTTCAAAGGTTCTCAAATGTGAGAATTTTATTATTTTTCTAGTTTTACATTTTTTTTCAGTGAATCTTTTGGGGTTTGGGTGTTTTGGTCGGACAAAGCGAGACGTCACCTTGTGAGTTTTAGGAATTTTCTGATGTTTTTAAGATCATAAGATGAGCTGAAGACAAGATAAATGTTACATGTTACAGCTGAATCACTTTCATTAAACTTCTCTCATAAAATGAGCCTAAAAAAGGTGCAACTGATAGATTTGCAGCTAATTGTTGTGCTTGATTTGTTGTTGTCGTCAGTCGAGATCGCAGACTCCACACCGTCGCCACCTGCCGTCAAGGAGGTGTCGAAGCGCTTCCCCTCCAGCGACTCGCCGCAGGTGTCCACGGAGCCGGCGTGGCTGGCGCTGGCCAAGCGAAAGGCCAAAGCCTGGAGCGACTGTCCTCAGATCATCAAATAACACCCCCACCTCGGCTGCACACCGGCCTGCGTTGAGACTGCACACTGCCCACTGGACTCTGAGGCACCTGGAGAGTCATCATCACACTCACCATGAAAACCCTCCTGACTGTGAAACAAGTAAAGCCCCCCATCATCTTCACCATCGTCGTCCTCGTGACCCCACACACACTGGCTGGTACTATTATCATGTTAACGTGCGCTTCACATTCAAATATTCCAACACAATCGCACAGATGTATGTAAACAATTGTTGCGCGCATGCACATACTGTATACAAACACACAAAGAATAATGTCCCACATGTCGCAGTCTGGGAAGAGGAGGGGGGGGGCAGCCAATCAGAGCCAATCAGAACCACAGCTGGCCATTGCAATAGCCAACCCCAATTCTTTGTTTTTTTATTTTGTAGCCAACTGTGTCACCATGGTTGTATATAAATCACTCGCTCCACACAGTAACAGGTGAAGCAGTTCTTCAGTCGAGGTGAAGCTCTGACATGCGACGGTGTTTAATCAACAGAGGGTAACTGATCGTGTTTTAAGGGCTACCAGTAACAAGAACTCATCGTGACCCTGCTGCATCTGCTGATGGAAGTGTTACAGGTATTATTTATGTAAAGCAGTGGATTTTTCTATGTTTGAAACCATGGATGGATTACTGAACCACAGGCCCAGGGGCCCAACGTGTCAGGGGGCCCCCCCTGGTCTTCACTTACTAATCGTCAATTATGGAGACACGTACCAAGCAGGAAGAGACTCAAAACAACTACAAAGAAACATGAAACAACTACAAAGACACCAAATCAACCACGAAGAGACACAAAAACTACAAGGAGACTCAAACTGACTACAAATAGAAATAAAACAACCACAAATAGACACAAAAATGTAAAAGAATGGAAAAACAGCTTCAAAGAGAACACAGAGACTCTCAAAAGACTATCAAAGGGACAAAGCAGCCACAAAGAGACACAAAGCATCTACACAGACTCAAAATGACTACAAAGAGAAACTTAACGACAGAGATGCAAACCAGCTACAAAGAAACGCACAACTATGAAAAGGGACAAAACAGCCACAAAGGGACTCAAAATGACCACAAAGAGACGCAACAAGTACACTTGAACTGACTACAAAGAAACACAAAACAGCCACAAAGAGACACAAAGCTACTACAAAATGACACAAAACTACCACAAAGAGGCACAAAACAACTACAGAGACTCAAAATCAACACCGAGAGATGCAAAACAGCTACAAAGAGACACAACAACAAAGAGACTCAAATCGACTACAAAAAAAGGGAATAACATCCACGGGCAAAAAGAGTTAACAGATATAAAGTCTGTGTCTTGCTCCTGTAGATATGAGGGGGTCTTTTACATGTCTGTGTCCAGGGCCCCGTCGTCTCATGATCCGTCCATGGATGAACCGATACTGTATCTCTCCTCTGAGCCTCGTCATGTTCTTTCTTACTCATTCTCTAAACTCAAGCGTAACAATCCTCACTGTGTCCGTGACGACTGTGATAGCTGTCAAACAGGCTATTGTACAATTTTTCGTCATTTTTAAAGTCACCTGAAAAGTTCTGTCATGAACCACCCCGGTGGGTGCACGTGAACACAGCACTGAAGACTACGTGTTTTACGGGGCATTCACAGTGAACTGCACACCGTCGCGTCCTCACAGCCGTGCGACGACGTTCTTCCCTCGCCTGCTGTAACATACAACTCTCATAGCTCGTCCTCCCCGTAACACACTCCTTTGTAGGCCATCACTTCCTCGTAAACGTGATATGATCTTACGTAAGCATTTGCTCTGTGACAGAAGAAGAGGAAATAAAAACCTCCAGCATTCTCCTTCCCTTCCACTCACTTAATGATCTGTATGTATGTCTGAAGTCAGAAGGCGTCACCGGAGCTTCACAAAGAGTCACTTTGTCATTTTTGTTTTTCTAACGTTGCTCGTGCACAATAGTGTCGTGTACGCAGTGTTATGTGTAACGAGAAAAATGTTTGGTATTATTTACACTTTTTTTTTTTTTTTTGTCCCAATTCTTAAAAGGGACAGAAAATGTTATGAATAATGTAAATTAAATACTGATGTCTGAACTGAAGGACTCATTCATTTCCCAAAGCACACGGATATAAGTGTTTATTATTTAAAAAAACTGTGCAGAAATACGTCTTATGTTTCTTCTTTGACGGTCAGATTTAAACAATACACGTAGTCGTTGCGGCACCCGACTACGAGGGAGCGTTCATGCACCACCGGGGACGAGAACAGCTCCCCTGGGAGACGGAACGAGGCCAGCGTCCGTCCGTCGTGTCCGTCAAGGATCCACACTGTGCCGTCTGTGGAGGCCAGAGCCACCAGAGTCCCCCTCCTGCCCACGACGGAGCCGTCGAACACGCACGGACTGGAGTACACCTTCCCCGTGGTCTGGAAGGTCCAAACCAGAGAGCCGTCGACGCGGCTCAAACAGTACAGGCGGCCGTCATGTGACCCACACAGAACCCTCTGCTGGTCTGGTGTCACACACGGGGAGGAGAAGACCGGGCCTTTTGTTAAAAACTGCCAAACCTGCAGGAAAAAATGACATTTTTTGCTCAATTTGCAATCATTAAAGGGACAGTTCACCCTAAAATCTAAAGTTTATATTTTTCCTCTTAACTGTAGTGCTATTTATGAATCTAATCCAGAGTGTTGGAGATATTGCCCCTAGAGATGTCTGTCTTTTCTCCACTATAGTGGGACTAGATGACTCTCTGTTTGTAAATATGTATTTTTAATTTTGGGGTGAGCTGTCCCTTTAAGATTTCAGACCGTGGTCACATATTGGAGAAACACAGCAGTCTCACCAGTGTCCCTGTGCTGCTGAAGCAGCAGATGTTTCCATCCACCGATCCGATCGCCACGAGACCGGAGGAGGCGTTTGGCGAGGAGAAGAACGGGACGTCCTGACGGTACGACCACAGGACCTCTCCGCTCTCCTGGGAGACAAAAAATAAAGTCTCAAAACTGCCTTCAGTGAACAGAGCAGTTAGCTGTAAGTTTGATATTTTACTCACAGGGTTCAGACAGAGTAAATGACCTCCCAGTGAAGCGGCGTACAGCTGTCTGAGTGACGGGTGGAGGCATGGCGAGGAAAACACAGCTCCGCCCCCACAGTGACGCCTCCAAACACACTGCTCCACCTGAAACACAAACCTTTATTTATCTACATTTACTAGGTTATATAACTTTTAAATGATCTACCTGATTGTCCTACCTTTGGGTCCAGGGCGTAGACATGCCCATCGTGTGAGCCCACTATCACCAGACCCGTGAGGGGGTCCACAGCGGGACAGCTCTTCACAGCATCTCCCGTCTCAAAAGTCCACCGCGTCGTTCCAGACGCAGCGCACAGGAAATACACACAGCCGTCGTAGCAACCTGGAAAAATCAGCCCACCCCCAAAAAAGGTCCATAAATCCCAAAGAAAAATAACACAAAGTCAGATATTTTTCACACAGTGTTTTCGGAGAGCTGACCTGTAACCACGAGGCTCCCGCAGCGAGACACGGCGGCCGAAGCTTCGATTCTGTCCCCGAGAACTCGCTCCCACACGAGGCTCCCGTCGGTCAGGTCTAAAGCCTGGATCCTGTGAGAGTGGGAGCCGATGAACACCGTTGTTTTACCGCCGTCTGACTTCGGATCGGTTCCGTGTTGCACGAGAAGCATCGGGGAGGCGTCCACACATCTGCCCGTGTCTGAGGACCAGCTCAGATCGAGGCCCAGAACTCCACCTCTGCGTTCCTCACCGGAATCTTTCTCTCCGAGCGCGTCGGCCTGGAAGTCTGAATGTGGATTTCCGATTTCTATCACCTCACCTGCTCGTCTTAGGACTTTAAAAGCCGGCGTCTCCCCCCTCGGCCTCCCTGCGGATGTGCGTTCTCTCTTCGGGAGCACGGCGGAGGGTTCGTCAGCGTGGCGTTTCACGGTCGTCGGTGGTGGGCTGCTCTCAGGTGGCGGGCTGCTCTCAGGTGGCGGCATCAGTGCAGCTCTCTCGACGTGGCGCAGAACATCAGAGAAGGTCCCGTCGAGTATGGCCTCTAAAAGCTCCGGCGAGGTCGCCCCTACGGCAGCGAGGATGTCTTCGTGCAGGCGCAGCGCCTTCAGAGAGTCTCCTCCACTCAACAGGAAGTTTGATGCCTCGTCGACGGCCGCATCCTCAGGAAGAGCAAGAGTTTCCTGTCGTGGAGAATAAAGAAATATTCAAGTGACAAGTGAAACCAGGAAGTATTTAAACGTGGAGTTATGGACAGCTGGCCATACCTGCCACAAGGACCGCAGGGTTCGCTTTAGTTTGGTGAAATCTAACCGTGAAGACTCTAAAGAGCGTCTCTGTGTTTGGTACGTCTTCATCAGAGCCTCCATGTCCACTTTACCTGAAACGTGAAACAAACAGGAAAACAGTGATGAGGGCGCAATGTGGTGGTTGTTGTTTCTTTTTCTTTTCTCCTTTCTTGGAAGTCGAATTGTTCTTTATTATGCGATTGTATTTATTTCATTTTCTATATCTATATATATATATAT